CTTTTGATTGACTTTTCAATAAGAAACATCAACAGTCACTTTAAACTGAGGCCCCCTGACCCCTTGGGCCCCTGTGCCTGTGCCCAGTGGGACCATCCATCCAATAATCTATCCGTGATTAGTGTTTGATATTATCAGAAGGATGTTGATACAAAAAAGGCTGACACAGTTTGAAGAACAGGGTATGAACAAAAGGCTGGTACAGGTAAAAGACAGGAAGTTGCTTCAATTTTCTGCAAAACAGCTTCAGCCTAATCTTATAGACACCAGAGCAGCAGACTGCATAGCCACAAAACAGGAAGCCTGCACCAACCTCGACTCTGCGTCGGTCCTACGTCACCTATAGCAATCTCAGTTTGCCTTATCAAGCTATGTTTTGTCCATGAATCCCCCAGAACATTTACAGCTCTGTGTTGTCTCCTGCAGCACCCATAATAAAGAAACAACAGGATGCTATTTTATATACAAAAGGAACCAATTGTTTGATAAATCTTGACATTTACATTAGTTTTTAAAAGGTCTGAGTGAACGTATACGTGTTAATATCAGATGTACATTATTACAGTCACAGAAAAATAGAAAATAAAACAAAAATAATTATAATTCATAAAATAAAACATTAACTCATTTCCAAGTTAAATCTAACTTAGGTTGAAACTTGTAATTCAGTATCATTTTACAAAGGCAAGCTTGAGTCAGTGCAACTCAAATTTGCATTAGAACACACTTTCAAGTTAAAAACAGACTCACCAGTGAGAGGAATCACATCCCAGACTTTCATACACTGAAGCTTCAGTATGAGATAATAGACTTAAGTCTACTTGCCTGAGTTTGTTTCCTAAAAATGTCCCGTCACTGGGGGCCTCTCAAACAACTTTCTCAAAGCAGTTTTGTTTCTAAGGAGCTGGCGCCATAGATCTCTGCTTACATGTACTGTTTCTGCTCGCCTACTGCAGTCTTATTTCCTGTTCAGTGTGAGTTTGTTTCTCTTCCGAAAAAAGCGGTGTGATACATTACAGCACTCAAGCCACAAGAAATGGGAAGTCTGATTTGAACCATACTCCCAAATGTATTTTATATATTTGTGTGTATCTTTTTATGGCACCTCACTGACAAGAGGGTGGACTGGAAAGAGTGGCAAGGTGGTGATTCATTTTGACGTTACAACACAGCAATGCTAGAAATGTTACAAACTTGTTAAATAAAAAAAAGGCAGCGTTAACTGCATGTGGACATTAAAGCAAATAATTTCTGTGTAGTTGTTATTTGTACTTTTTTTAAGCAAATGATTAAAAGAACACATTTACAACTGAATAAGATATGATGCCATCATGACTGTAAAACAAGACCCAAGAGTAAAGAAAGAAAGCAAACACAGGGAAGTATATTTGTATTCAAATGTGCATTAATTACTGCTGTCAGTGGAGCACCGCTTCACCATACTTGGCGCATGTGTTTGCCCCCTGCTGGATTTCTAGATCAAATACAATCAACTGAATCTTCTCACAGACAGAAACTCTTGATATATTAGATATATAATTGTGCACTACTAAATATGCAATTCTCACCCTGTTAAGTTGATATACAGTATTCTTGTGATTTCTGCTACTTAGAAAAATGTATTTGCCATATGTTCTTTCATTGTAAACACAAATATATTCTGGATGGGCCTTTGGAAATGTATTAGGAGAAAAACAAAGTTATCAGGATAAAGTCACCTGTCTTTGTTTTTAACAAACAACTACTGGTGTTATTAATGAGATTAATAATTCCAAATAACTGTGACCATTTTTTTTTTGCCAGTAACTATTTTATTATGGCACCAAAATTACATGTTAAAACGTAAATGCAAATAATATTTGCGTTAAAGGACGTAGGTGTACATGATATTTTATTAAACTTTTACTGTTTATAAATGTGACATTATTTTCTTTAAAGTTGCTCTTCGGTTGCACCACTAATTTGATCAGTTTTGTTTGTTCATCAATGTTTGGTTCGTACTGTATGTACTGTTTTGTTAATACAACCTGCATTCATTAGAATAATTAAATAAATAAATGATTAGAGGAAATTGGGGCAGTTGTAACACAATCAATTTCTCCAATCAGAAACAAGCTAGAGTGATGACACTTAATCTGCACATGCTCAGTTCTCTCTCTACCTGTGGAAAAGGAGCAGGATAATTTCACCTCAGCAGAAGTTTTCAACAAAATACAGATTTTGAGGTATAAAAGTTACTTTATTGCATCTACAGTATTTTTCTTCCGCTTTCTAAAATTTATATGATCACAAATTTAAACTAACATTTTATCTCCAGGTTATTGGATAAAAATGAACACAAACAACCTATGCTAACAGAGGTGTGGGTATCTAGCATACAAGATTTTATCATGGCTGCAACATGGCCCAATGTAAGCAGCGTGTTTTTCTGTGCTTACATACTTTTCTGTTAGAAAATTTCACTAAATTTAAATTAAATTTAAAACTGCATTTAAAAAGTGTGTATTAAAATAAATGTGTTTGTTCTAGTATGAACATTAATCATCAAGTTAACACATTAACATTAACACATTCTTCGTAAAGAATAATGTGTGTTTTATATGTGTTTGACATGAAATGTTAATATTATGTTACTAGTATCTTTTGGAATAGTTACTAGTAACTAATGAACAGTTACTGGTAGCTAAAATTAAGTACAAGTATCTAATCAGCTGTTACTAATAAAACAGAAACAGTTACTAGTAACTAATGAACAGTTACTGGTATCTAAAATTAAGTACAAGTATCTAATCAGCTGTTACTAATAAAACAGAAACAGTTACTAGTAACTAATGAACAGTTACTGGTATCTAAAATTAAGTACAAGTATCTAATCAGCTGTTACTAATAAAACAGAAATAGTTACTAGTAACTAATGAACAGTTACTGGTAGCTAAAATTAAGTACAAGTATCTAATCAGCTGTTACTAATAAAACAGAAATAGTTTCTAGTAACTAAAAATGAAGTACTAGTACTTATTTCAAGTAGTCTGTGATATATTAGTATTCGTGCTTCATACTCTCAGCTGTTGACGATGGTTGATAAGTAATTTTACCTTGACGCCGCAGCGACGTCATTCTCACGCCCACACTGTGTCCTTTCAACAGGTTTGAGGTATTTAATGTTTCACAGTTTAGGAAGCCCCGCACGAGGCAGGGCATCAAAAAATTAGATAGAACTCATATTGTTCCTCTCCACGGAAATCTTTAGTAAAAGGCGAAAGATTTATACGATCTGAAGAGAAACATGAGTGTACTGACTACGGGTAGGAAACGTGGAGCGAGTGATTTACCGACATACACTTTTCAGTGACGGTGGCACTGCGCCGATACAACTACGTGTTTACGTCGTTATAACAAATGTATGCGAATACGCGATATATTAAAGGATAACATTTTGGATAAACGCGTTTTTAATCTAAATACGAGATTTTATCAAATGTTGTACATACTCCCGCGCGGTGCATGCCGGGTAGCGGTGTATTGATACCGCACTGGGAGAGTTTTGCTGGCCTTTGAAGTGAGCAACATAAAAATAATTGTTGAAACAAAGTGTTGTAATGCGCTTACGTAGTGTTGCGCTTAACGGAGGAATGAAAAGCAAGGGAATACAGTCGAAAGGGAATAAAATAATAGCGCTAGAATATAAACGCATGCGCTGTTAAAACTAAACGAGAGGATTACCTCCTGTCACTTCCGTCTTCGCACCGGAAGCCTCCCGGTACAAAGAGTTGGTCCCAGTCATCGTGAAATTTAAAAATTCTGTGATGAATTTTCCTTAAGTTTCCCGTCTTATTTAAAAAATTATAACTGCATTTCAACAATTAAACAGATCCTAAAATGAAAATCCGGTAAGTGTACGCATTTGACGCTAATTCACACCATATTTTGTTCAACAACAAAACGGGAAAGATGAAGTGTTGGATGAGGTCTCAATATTCTTGTTAAACAAAGTAATGTCTATGTATGTCTTCATCCAACACTTAAAAAAAAATTGCCCCTTTGCATTGAAGAATACAGGATACAGGGCTCTAAAAACCTCTGGTTGAACTAATCACAACTCATGTCAAGTAGACATAATTTTAAGGAATCCCAAGCCGAAACGATGGGCACCACTAAGTTACAGCATTCAGGTATGTTACAAAGGGATAGTTGACTATAAACCCACCGACCAGGCTTCATTGTCCCCTGAAAGCTCCAGGCTTATTTTCACAAGTGGTTTATGCCAGTTAATCCCCACTCACACTTTCAACTGCAACTGATGCTTTGATGCCTTAAGGTGCTTCATCACCCTGTATCAAAATCTAGTTTAAGACCATATTATTTCTGTTTTGTGCTTATATGTTGCATATTCCTTAATTAGTTAGAATTACTACTTGCTGAGCAAGGGTGCTGTGATTTTGCAGGAAACAATTGTCTATTAGGTTACAAATCTTCATAAGGCATTGCTGAACAATGGTGGGTATCTTACGAAGTATAACCGCAGTGAAATCAAACACCCCGTACTGAACTCTCGAGCTCTTCAAATAAAGGAATGCCTTCAGGAGTGTTTCTAAATTCACAATACTTGTCCTAGTTATCTTCATGATGATGATGATGATGAAGACTTTCACATGTACTGAAGCACGAGGCCTAAATGTCCTGGTCTATACATGGTCTATACTTTTACTTTACTTTTACAAAACTGGTTTTGGTTTGTGTCTCACTTTGCACAGGAAGATGGTTCAACAACTTTATTTTCCAGCTCTGTAACCCAGTAAAGAAAACTCTGCCTGAATAACATCCATCTTAAATAAAGCCACTGGATTCATTTAATCTGTTGTGGTGTTTGAACGGACATCCTTGTGGTTTGACATGTAATTAGTCTTATAAAAAGGTGATTGGTTGATTTTAAACATAGATGAGGTTTTTTGTGGTAATGCCACACATTCTTTGTATAATCTGAAAAATTACAAAACTGATCATGTTTACCAGGACAATTTGCTAAATCCAACGGTCTTTATTACAGTACATAAAATATGTCACAATCAGAATGTTAGAAGTACAACAAACAAATGGCAGTTTTGTGCAAAAACATCAATACCGGACGTATCAGAAAATACAGTTCTCAACATCAAACTGGCAGGGAATTCTGTGTAAATGTAAAGAAACAGTAAGATAATTAATCAGCTCTGAAGTGCAGCTTCCATGCAGTATCAGTAGCACTCTAAAAACAATAATGCAATGTTTAAAATTTAATTTTCTTCATCTTGTTAATAACATTAAAAATCAGAACTGCAAGCTTTGTGGAAAACCTTCTTTGCTCCTGGTTTTTAAATTAGGCTGATGTTACCGACAGATTAAGTAGCAGCAAGAGCATTCAGAGACTCTAGACTCGAATTATGCTTTACAGTACAAGAGGGCACCCAATCTTTGGCACGCACCATGAAATGCTGTCACCTTGGTCCATCTACATCCAAAGGATTGATTGGTTTTACTTGATATTTTGGTCATCTGTTAAAATATAAATAATTCAAAAGTCAATTTTTTTATATATATAAAAATAAGGCAAGTTTCATTTTTTAAAATATCGTTTCATGTTCTTCCCAGTGGGGATTTGTCAGCCTATTGTGCATTTTTCACTGTCCACTAAGCCACATGTTGCGTAGTGGTTCATAGTCTTGCACACAAGACTCGGCTGCCTTTTTTTTTCTCTAAGCCATCATCACAGGGATTGTAAAACTGACTATTTAAAAAGTGTCCATGTGCAGCCTCGTGCAGCTCTGTTCAGTTCATATGGCCTTGACATCGATAAGGTGGCCATGCTGGGCGCCTTGCCTTAGCGTCTTGATCCCTTGCAGCTTGCGGCCGTGAAGTGTGAAGCGCGACCAGGCAGCCAGCTGGAGCAGGGCACAGGTGATAGGCACAAAAACCAACATGTAGAAACAGCCCAGGCGCAGAGGCGGAGTCCCTGAGCCAGAGGAAACGTCAGGCACAGAAACCAGAGAGTCCTTCACAGGTTCCCTATTAAAAATATCATAACCTGGGGAAGAGGGGAAAAAAAGTAGTTTCTTCAGGGTACACAAAACACAGACGAATCAATTCACACACAGAACTGCTTCTTCGGAATGGATGGTTCCACTGAAATCAGACTAGATGTGAAGCCGTCCTACAAAAATTTGAAAACGGTAGGAATCCCACGCGTAAGAAGGCCTATAAATAAAACAAATTAAATATATAAACGGTTTGGTTTTGGACAGATGGCTAAGCTAATGAGGTGACAAAAAAGTCATATGGAGGTTATATTTTAAGTGTGTAATTGTCACAAAATAATGTTCTCTCTCTGTATTTTACATTTTGGGATTTTGGATTTTTGCTCTTGTGAAAAAAACTGCCCACAGATGTGGAAAGGAGGAGAGCAGAGTGAGAACAAGTGCACATGTGGCAAAAACACACTAATTTTTCCTTACAGGCTTACCCGCAGTGTTTTATAGCAAAGCCTGAAACAAAGACCAACTCATCTATCATTAAAAACACTTCTATGAAATAAAACATTAATCACTGAGCCTTTTCACACAGACTATGGTTATTGTTTAGGCTGGAATCTACTAACTAAATTGATCACAAGACAAAATGCGTAAGGATCTGGTTGGCTTAGACCTCTGCTAAATAAAGTGTCTGATTTTTCCAGTTGAACTTGTTGTGCAAGTTGCACTTATGTGATCTGTACAACAGTTCTACTTTTCAAAACGTTTCAGTTTCACAAAACCTGACAAAATCATTGACAGTGATCATAGGTAATTTCACACTTCCACCTGCCAGAAAGACACAAAGACACATGAATGCAGCAACTTGTAGCAGCATCTGAAACAAGGTAATTAAATACACTTTCTTATGGAGGAGTCAGCGTGAGTGCTTCTGTCTGTACCTGTGTAAACACACAGCAGCCATGTGCCAATGAGAGGAGCGAATGTCTGGCCAGGTTTGGTCAACAAGGCAACCATCCCGAAGAGGAGCGCAGAGGCAGCCTGCTGACGTCGATTAACCACAAAGTCCTCGTCCACCAGGTCTGAAATAACCAGTTTCAGCAGCTTGCAAGTCCCCTCCGTAAACACCCGGTTACTAGGACCAAGAGAAGTCACATTACAGTCTCTGGTCACAACAGTGTGGAGTCTTGTATTGTCAGCTGTAATGTAGTTTGTGACCGTATGTTGATGAAATGATCCTTTCGTTCTATAATGTAAACAGTAATTTATAGTAGCAGGCAGTTTTAAATTGAAGTCTTGTTACCAGGTGTTTATCAAGTTCTATTTAAGAGTATTAACATAAATTAAAGCTGGGGTAGGCAGTTTTGGATACTATAAAAATCTAGCTGTCTCTTGCCAGTTTCTCCAATATTACATACACCAGCTTTAAGGTGTGTCAACTATCTATTTGTTGGTTTCTAAAGAGGGGAAGCCCTACTAGAGCACGCACTAAGGTGTCTGTGTGTTAAAAACACATTTTATTGTGTGAAATGCAGGAATAACTTCTAGTGACAGCTCTGCCCCCAGAGAGAAACAACCACAAGCATTCGCACCCACTGCTGACAACGACAGCTGTGACTAAAATATCTAACCACACACTCCATCAGCTGCTGTTTGAGAGAGCATTCAAATCCTGGTGTTAACTATGAGAACAGCATGGTTATTTGAAATCTGAATCACTCTGTAAAACTTAAGGGGCAAAAAATGACGTTGAAATGTGAGCGAATGGGCTTAACCAGCGTTTGACCACACCTGGAAGTTTGTTTTATTCTTTATATACATTTGCACTTTCTTTACCTAATATTGTCACTTTGTTTCTCCATATTCTAAATGTACTATTGTTATTTATGTCTACTCTGCAATACAACTATTGTTTGAGCGTCCTTCTGGAGGTGGGATCTCTTTTCTGTTGCTCTACCTTTTTCCCTCCTGTTAAAGCAGTAAATATTGCTCTTTAAAAAGAAAATCCAAATCGAGGGTCTATTTATAGAAGAATTTATATGTTTTGTACAAATTTTAAGGCAAATGATTTGGGGCTGAGTGACAGAGGGACAAACAGGAGCAATATTTACATTTTCCTGGAGGAAAAAAGCCTTGTAGCAAAGAACAGTTAACACATTATTTGGATTACAATAAATGTTGAGTTAACCTTTAAACAGGATGTGACAGAAAGAGTGCTTGATGCGTGCTTGTTATGAATACTAGGCACAGAGCGATTCTACTTCCTGTCCTTGATATGTGTTGGGGTGTGTTTGTTTATTCAGCTATGAAAATGAGCAAACAAAAGTACAAGCAGTCACACATCGGATCCCTGAAGCGTGTGCTGATGTGTGTGCGTGGCCATACCTAGCAATGAAGATGCACAGAAGATAAATGTGGTCAGCCCCTGCCAGCAGCATAGCCACACTAAGTCCCAGTTTGAGCATAAATAGCCAGCGGATAACCTGGTAAACCCCATAACGCTGGCACAGTGTCAGGAAATACAAGTTGTTCAGGTGGGGGGCAATGTAAGAGATGCCTGCGTGGGAGCAGAAGCAGAAGTGCATTTAAAAAAAAAGACTTAAGAGCAGAAAGAATAGTAAAAAAAAAAAAAAGATGGATAGCAAATTATAAAGACAAATCTATTCCATCTTTGCCACAATTAGATCAGTTCTTAACAATTCAGGAGACCTTTCAGAATACCACCTCACTGGGTTTCTGAGATCTTCCTGATCTTTAAATCTAGACTGAAGACTGGATCAATTTACCATGCTGCATCCACAAATTAAATTATAGAATTATTGGCAACTAAAAGGTGCTTGTAAACATAAAAAAGCGTGTGGCTAGCTTGCATGCTACCAGTAATGTAACCTTCAGTCTGTATTCCACATTGTATAACTCTTTTTATATTGCTGAAATAATTACTGCAGATGTCCATTCAACACGACAAGCAAAGAATATTCATCTCCCTTATTATCGTACAACTCTTGGACAATATTCCATAAAATACAGAGGACCATCACTTTGGAATACTATTCCCCTTTTCTATCAAAACTAGTCCATCACTGACAGTATTTAACTCAAGCATGAAAAAATAAGTATGTCATGGTTAAATTTCAGTAGGTGTGTTGTGTATGTTTTATTTAATCGTTTATAACTGTCGTCATTATTTTTCCTGTAATAATTTTGTATAACATCAATTAAAAATCCAAAGGGGAGGTTTAACTATAAGCCCTTGGGGGTTCCTTACCTCTCCTGCATAATTCATACAGTGTATTTTTTATATATTGTTATTTGCCTTTGTGCTACTAAATAAATAAATAATTGTGTCTGTCTTGCCTAGCTCTAGCAAAAAAAAACCTGGATAAAGAAGACTTGAATGTGTGCATTATTTCCATTTTCTTAAAAGGGATCTTACCGAGTAAGATGGACCCTGTAGAGGCAGAAATATTGTCAGATAGGAGATGTTCCAGGAAAAGAGGGAAGAAATTGTTGTTGAAATGACAGTGAAACACCTGTAGGGGGAGCAGAGACAACAACAGAATAACTAAAGTAAGTAAAAAAAACAAACAAAAAAAACAAAAACACTGAACATTTGAACAAAACAAAACTAAGGACACAAAAAGCAAATCAGCCTCTGTATCACATGATTGTCGCCTGAGATAAAAGGCATAAAGACACAAATCAGATTAGGGTATTTTTTGTACTCCTGTTAATGCTACTGAAGCAGCACATCCAGTTTGATTAGGATCTTACCTGAACAAGGTTCATTGACACAAACCACATGAAGTTTCTGTGTTTGGAGAGCTGCTTGACGTACTGTCTAATGGTGACAGGTTTTTCTGGGTGGGTATGTGGAGCGTGACCTACACTCAGCCTTTGGACCGCAAAAGAAAAACAAGTAAGGAGTGAGACGGAGAGTCCAAAAACATCTCAACCAAAGTTATTGAGAATTTCCAGATCTTTAGAAATTCCTTACTCTTTGAGCATCTGTGCCTCATCCTGTCTTAGAAGGACTTCCTTTTGGAAACGAAGCTGTAGCAACTGAGACACTAAGAAAAAGCCCAAGATGGAAAAAGCTGCCAGAGTCACACAGAAGAGACGGAAGGAGTAGAAATCATCTTTGTCCCAGAAGGAGTAAGACAGAAATACGGAGAATGACCCCAAAGCGCTGAACACGGAGCAGTGGAAGTTCAGGCGTGTGCGATCAGTGGCGGACACTGCGAGGTCAGCCAGCAGGGCGCTGTGGTGGAGGTCCACCATAGTCAGGAAACCATCGTACAGACACAGGCACAGCAGGAACTGCAGTCCTGGACTGGCCCACGCCACCCAGAAGGCCAAGAAGGACAGAGCAAAGAGAGGGCCATTTCTGGAGAGGGCCTTCAGGCGCTTCAGCACCACCTCTGGAGTTGTGATCTGAGGGCCTGACCTGGGTGGAAAAACAAACAAAACGGAAACTTTGTTATGTCACCACCTTATGACAATACAGAGTCACACTTTTTTTAATCATGACGAAATGCAAACACAGATGGCAGCCGGATTTGTTTGAGAGATCTTGTTTTGATTAAGCGTTTACGTGCATTACTGCAGCTGATAAAAGGATCTATGCTGAAACATTTCTGTGTGCATGGGTGTAAATGTCTTCGCTCAGAGAAGCTGTAGGATAAGTGTGCAGGAACAACAGCGGTAGAAATCTGCAGGTTGACTGGAAAGCGAGCAGCGAGGGCAAAGTGATGTCAGAATGAGGAAGACAATTTCCTAAATTTCAGGACAATTTTACCAAAGATAAATATGTGTCTAAATACAAATATATTCTAGGGAAATGTCATGGTGTTTCAAAAATTACCTTTCTGAAATTATCTTACACTAGCAGAAAATTGACATTTATGTTTTTTATTTATCAGTATCTCTGCTGATCACCACAGGAACTACTGGATGCTGATATTTAGTCAAGGCTGTCAACGGTTACTTGTCTCTTTTCACAGGGAAATGCTGCTTTTATTAACTCTTTTTAAAAGAGTATCTCGGAAGGAACCTAGCTGCATTATGCGACATATCTAGAACTGACCTTTTTGTAATATAATAACTGTATAATCCAACTTTTTCTTGGCTTTTGGACAGCATTAAATGTCAGTTTGCAAAGACAAGCTATCAGCTTATTATCACTTCGGTCACATCCATGTTTAGTAAACTGTTAGAGGAAGCTGTTTTTTTCTCAGTTTTTTAATGTTTACTTGGTGTAAACATTATTTGCCACAGTGTTTTCTCTGAGAGAAAGGAGGAAGGTTGGAGACACTTACTGAGGAGAGCTGAGGAAGGAGCGATCACTCAGCCAGCCAAAGAGAGGATCATTCAGACTGTTCCATATGAGGAACACTGTCTGTGGAGCAGAAGAGAGAGCAGATAAGAAGACAATAAAACTTTATAAAAGTAAACAAATAAAGAATTATGGCTTATTGAAAAGCTAGAACATGATATCAAAGTTACACAACATATTTACATTTTATTCTTAGTACAGCTGGGCAATATAATAACTACACAAAACTATAAACGCAAAACTTTTTTGCTCCCATTCATCATGAGCTGAACTGAAAGATCTAAGACTTTCTCTATGTACATAAAAGGCCTATTTCTCTCAAATATTGTCCACAAATCTGTCAAAATCTGCACTTCTCCTTTGCCGAGATAATCCATCCACCTCACAGGTGTGGTATATCAAGATGCTGATCAGACAGCATGGCTATTGCACAGGTGTGCCTTAGGCTGGCCACAATAAAAGGTCTGTCGTCACTCACCTCTCCCACCCAGAAGGAGACTTTATCAATCTTGTAGATGGACACAAATGTCTCTACATAGTAAAGGAGGAACACATTGTGGAGGATGGAGGTAAACAAGGCCAAAGAGCCGTAGAGCACTGCAGTAGAGATGACGCCTTGCCAGCAGCCCCAGACGCTCCTGCCCATTCTTCTTTCTCAATCACTGTGCTCCGTCTTTTCTCTGTGCCAAGCTGCAATCATATCACGGCCTGGCTGATCCAGAGTCACCACCTCATCATAGCCTGCAAAAACACAGTGGCGTGTGGATAAATCGACTAAGACTTGACAGAAACATTGTTAAAGTTATTTTCAGTACAGTAGACAAGTGAAGGAAATATTCCCTCACCCTGAAGCAAAATATACATGATGTATAATGGAACACCTACTGTAAGTTACTGCAGCATCTCAGGGTAAAATCTCACCATTAATACAAAATAATATTAACATACCTGTCTCTGCAAAGAGTTTGAGGAGATTTCATAGCAATGGTACAGTAAGTACTTATTTAGCTAGTTAGGCTGTGGGCCACAGTTCCTTTCTCTTCTGGCCCACGCCCAGCTGTGGTGTGTGTTTAAAACTGTAATTTTCCTATTTTTATAACCACTGCTCTTGACGCTCCACCTCACTGCCCCAGTGTCCTCTTAAAAAGCTGTTCTTCTTCACAGTGAAATGACAAAAGGAAAGTCATACGATACTCAGCCATTCATTTCAAGCTAAGTTCTTTCATTTTGCTTTAATGTCCTTAGGTGTCATATTCAAAATTGCATTCTAGAGGTGTTCTGAATGTGCTGCACTACATAATTTACACCTACTGTTAATGTTAAAGGGCACAATATCCGACAAGAAAGACAAAGACAAAGAAAGCAATGGGTTGGAAAGCACACAAGGTTGTCTCCTTGTCACATCTCCTTGTGATGTAATGTCTTTTGTCACACCAACTGAGGACACATAGTTCACAATGAATGCAAATCCAGCGTCAGTTTGGTTACTAAAGTGCATTGTTTTGCTTCCCCTTTGAAAGCCCCTGGTGCAGTATCACATGTGGGAGAAGAATTCACTTAACAGGCTTCGTACTTCACACCTGACTCCCACAGGCTCAGACTTGCACTGATCTACGAACATCCTCTCACGGCTTCAAGCCTTATAATAGCTCACAATAACAGTGTCTCAAGGCAATTTCTCTTGTCTGAGTCAAAAACAGCGTAACGTCTACGCAAAGCTGCAAAAGCGAAGCTTCATATCAGGATCTCAGTGAGATAGCGAATGTGGTCAAAGCAAAGCTTTCCAACCCTGTTCCTATCAGATCCAAGCAGTGAAGTGGAATGACTCTCAGCTGGCTGCACCATATCACATCTCCAACACATATCTTTTTAAATCAGAAGTGGTTTACTTTGTAATATGTAACAGAGCGGGACTTCGATCTACAAATACCTAATTCATGTCCTCTCAGCCACAGCAGAATTAGAGCTGTTCCTATCTGTGGAGACGTTTCTTGGCTGGTTACTCTGATAAATTACCAGAATATATGGTGGCTGAGCTGGTGACACCTGATCTCAAGGCAGATTTGCAAACCACAACAAAAGGGGCATCCATCATCCCTTGTATCATTTGCTGCAGACATTTTAAATTGTGGTTGATAATACAGAGGCTGAATGCAGCAATCTTGCTCAAATGTAGGTAAAATAAACAAAAAACAAATGTCCACTTATAATCACAACATGCAAACACTACAAGTGTTAGTTAGCAGGGTTTTAAACCGCTTCAGGTTAACGTTACAAGCATGCAAATTCCTAGCGTCTTAAATACAAGCCGGGATTGTAAGCTAATGCAATCTTGCATACACAGTTAAGGAACAGGTGGCATTGCTTGTCTTGAAATGATAAACAGTTATCAAGTTATTTAGCCTTATTCACCATCTGGTAGGGTTCTGATCATAACCAGCTAGCCAATTAATAACGTTACGTTTGGACTAACGTTACTGTCATATTCGACTATTAAAACTACAACTAACATCCCACGTGTTGTGTAAGTTAGTCTGTTGTGTCTGCCCATAACAGCTGGTAAGACCGATAGATATCTTGTATGAAAAGTATCTATTATTAAATCTATTACTGGGCTGGAGAACGTAACTTAGCCAGCCACCGCTAATGGTTAGCACCAGCTAGCCTTAGTTAAATGCTACCATTAGCTAGCTGTTTAACGACAACGACAACAAACTGCCTGTCTATCTGGAAATAAACAAATACAAAACTAGTTTCAAGTATATGTACAGCAGAGCAAAGAGGTTTCACGTACCGACAGAGCTGTTAAGCAGGCCGAGTAAGTAAGTCGTGTTTTACTCGGTGAGAAGCTAACCTGTTAGCTCAGCTGTGCCTCGATCACCGGACGGCAGACAGACCACGTCATGACAGCTGCAGTCGGTTTACTCACGTCCGCGATGACTGTAGTGGCTTTGTGAAAGGGTTTCCCACACTGTGGTTTCTCATCAGGGTACAGCATGGATCAGACTTACAGCGCCACCCAGGGCAAATGTTACCAGGACCAGATATTCTTTGGCTCTGTTAACGTGTGGATGGGTCAAGTCAACTATTAGTGCTGCTGCAGGAACTGCTGAACAGGTTTGAAGGTTTGAAGCAGAAAATGAAAGGAACATGTTCTTAACTGCTTTATACAAGTACTTGTACTGGTCTATACACATGTGTATTTGAGTGTCACTATTGCAATATATATTTCCATTGTAAAGTGTAAACAATATACCCCTGAAACTAATTTAAATGTTCATAGTTTCTACATCAATCACTAGGCCTATTAAATGCTGTGTATGTACAATTAAATCACTATTTTTTTTCTTCAATATTAAACTAAAGTTCCAACTTAATAGGCCACATTAAAAAATACATTTGTTTCATGTATTCGTCTTCAAGTTAATGTCAAGGAGCAGTGGAAGAGGGTAGGAACATCTGACTTAGGGCTGCAGGATATGGTAAAAAAAAAAGAGATTATTTTGACAGATAAAGATGAAAGATATGATTTGCATATGATTCATGAAAATCACATTTGTTGGGGTCTGTACAAAACAAACATGTCTTCTTACATCTGCAGCACCACAGTACTTCATTATAATGCTGTATTGCCACACATTTTACCTTAATCAAATTGGATGTTGCAGTTAGCCATATCGCGATTTCGATAATATTTCGGTTTATTGTGCAGCCCTAATCTGAATATATTCTTCTAGTCCATGTATGTCCTTTTATTAGCCTACTACATTTCAGAGTAAAATAAGGCAAGAGCAGTAAGACCATATGTGTGATTTGAGAAGGAGCTTTAGGAATTACCCTGTTTGTGACAATGAACTATGTGACAATGTGAATTATATGGGCTGGATGTGGGTATATTGGATTACATAGATACAATACTATTAGGTCGCACATGTCATTTATACCACTGTCCTAAATATAAATAGGTGGAAGAGACACACAAATAAAAACTTTCCATCTTTTCTCCAGCAGGGGTCAGTCACGAGGCACAGATCACACGGATAATATTCAGACAATATTACACACACAATCTTAAGTAATAATAAAATAATCTGTGATATTCATAAAGAAAGACATAAGTAAAAGGTTTGTTTTATTTCTATTTGGACCTAAGAGCCGCCCATACTGAACACTAAAACATCATGACATTATTGTACTATAGTAGTTTTTCCAACCCATTTGACCCGTTTTAAAATATATTTAAGCTTTAGATAATCGTGAAAGCCTCATAAAGAATCAAGGTCAAGATGGGCAGCACAAGACATGAAAAACACAATAGGTAGCCTATATTATCCTTACAGAACATTACAGGCATATCATTTAATCACTCCAGGATTAAAAGGTATTCTTCTAAAATGTCTTTATGAATGAAAACATGGAAAACTTATGAGGAAACTGTGGTCATAAGATAGCGCAGGTTATGGATCCTGTGTGTGCGTGTGACTGGGGGTGGGGTGGACTTGGTTTGAGCATTGGGTAACTGCAGCAGCAGCAGAGAAGATCGCTGTTTCGCAGCGGAGAGGACGAATCAGTGAAATATTTTTGTGGACTCCAGGAAACAAGCAGGTGAGTCAGTCTTTTCCCGCTTTATTGCTCGTTAACGTGTTCCTTCCACTCTTCCTGCGCACACACACTCACATCTGTACTCAGGTGAAGGTGATTAAAGAGTGCGCTGCTGTTTTCCTTCTCAGTGCTGCAGTCCAGGTCGGACAGGTGTACATGGTTGGATGGTTGTACCTTCCTATCACGCGTGGGGACTCTTTACAGACGAAAAGGCCTGATTTTTTGTATTTTTACCTAAATCCATATTGGTGCAAGTTAAATGTATCGATTAATTACTGTTAGGGTATGTGCGGGAGTGTTTTTGTGTCACCAGATAGCCTACATCAATATTAGGACGTTTCTGAAGCCTCTTAATCTGCGTTGCGAGCTGAATGCATTGTTGTTAAAGTCAGATGTATGTAAAAGCATACACAATATATTGCTTATCTGTTTTAAAGCTGTTCCTGCCTGGCTGTGTTACTTTTGAAAGAAATAGGGGTGATGAAGCATGATGATCCAACGACGTGTGGAAAGAGAGGAGGGAGTAGTATCTTCAGTGGTTTATTGTAAAAAGTTAATTAAACCCACAAAGCTTCTTGCTCTTAATAGGACATGAGTGAGATAGAGCTGTAACACTGGTCAGAAATTAGTTTAATAGATTCATTTCACCTTTACCTTTATATATGGTTTAAAACTGTTACTTGTTTTATGGTTAATACATCATGTACTAACGCTTAATAGATCAGATATGAGTCATTAATACATTTTGAGCTGCCAGGTGGATAGATGTGGCATACCCAGATCCTTTACTTTGAGTAAAAGTGGAAATACCATAATGTAAAATCCTCTATTACAAGTTGCTGCATTCAAAATCTAACTTGAGTAAAAGTATTACATGCTAATAGTACTTCAGAGTTCATGTAGGTTGAGGTGGAACTATTTTTAATTAATGAATATACTTTCAGATAGTTTAATATATAACAGTAAGTTAAAGAAGTACATATCTGTAAAATCTTAATTTGAAAAGTGTTTGTAACTGTTCTGAAAAATGTGTAAAAAGTACAAAATTTCCCTCTCAAATAGTGGAATAGAAGTGTAAAGTAGCATAAAATGGCAATATTTAAGTAAACTAAAAATACTTGTAGTACCACTGCCGTGTAGTCCTTAATAATGGGCAGAACATTTCTCACTTTCCCATAAGGCATCTGCAACTGCTGTATAAATGTTAATAAGTATTCATCCATCAAGTCTGCAGTTGTACATTTTAACAAGTCATTAATAAATTAATTAGGGTTCATTTACCCTGCAGACCATTTTGCAGAAGGTCAGAGGTCAAACAGCCTATTGGAGGGGTCGTCGTGATGAATTAAAGAGCTGCCTAAAAAGACAAAGCAGAGAGGATAAATTCCAGACAGAAAATGGCAACCCAAAAAGCTGTTCTTGTTAACATAACAAGCTCATAGCGGATCTGTATATATTAGTATTGGTAATTGATTTATTAACTAACTAGTAATAAAGCAATTTTTCACGCCCACCACAAGAGTGGTACAGATGACTGAAGTCATAATCTCTCTCAAGTAGTGCAGAGAGGAGGATAGTGTTTATATTGGATTTGTTTGATATTGATGTCTTAATAATTTCAAGGCTGACAGATCAATTCACACATTAGAATATGTGACCAATTAATAGCATATACCACAATATATGCAAATTTGATTGTACTGTACAGTACATTACAAGATGTTCTTGCATTGTTTGAGAAGCAGATTTAATCACATGAGGTTTGAGATCAGCATCATTCTGCACGCTTTCATTACTTATGACATTCATTGCTTATGGTCAGGATCATGTTTTTCCACTTCTCCATGCTTTTGGCTGACCATTTCTTACTTAAAATATTTTTTCTGAAGTAAACTTTTAACTTTATAACTTTATAAAGAGATCTTATAAGAGATTAAAAACAAAATCTAATTTCCAACGAGTCAAAAATTGACTTTATGGATTATTCCTTTCATTTCCAAATCAAAATGAGTGTTGTGTTATCCATGTTGACAGATCTAAACAAAAAAAGGCTCTGGTGTTCCATCTCATGATTTAACCTCAGGAAAGACAAAGAAGGTGAGATGATCTGTAATCACATATTATAGTAGATGAATTTAATAACATGTACACAGCAGAAGAAAAGACAGTTTTAAATTGATTATACACATAAATATATATGTGTGTATACTATACACACATATATATTTATATTTATACATATCCCTTTGAATTCCAAGATATTATTGCATATTATTATTTTTGAGTATGATGTAAGTTTTATCAGCTCTATCAGATAGACTCTAACAATTTCCCCATACATTCTTTATATTTTTAATGGATGAAGAGGCCGTTTGACACAATCATGATTTTATTCTTCTCTGAGAAGAAGTCTTAAGATATCTCCACATCACAGTGAATCACCTCTCATTCTGCCTTCATTGTGCCTTTATGGTTCAGCACCTAATGGTTTGAGATAAAGCAAGAAAAGAAAAAGTATAAATATCATATTCACGCATAGCACAGTATATAGTACACCATACCCTTCATAAAGTGTATTCATTCAGTCTTTGTTGGTTGATGGCTTTAGCACAAAAGTTTGGCAGTGTGTTTGGCATTTTAAGTGGGATCAGTTGAAAGGAAATACAAGAATAGCGCACCTGTTTTATTGATCTTTCTGCACAAATGTCAGGCTAGATATTTTGCAAATAATTCTGCCCTGACAGACGCTCCTATTGGAAAACAGCTTTATCATTCTCTGCAAACTTCACATTATTCTGTATGCAAGTAATGACTTGATTTCAGGATTGATGAGCAGCAGAGACTATCACTAAAACCATCTGTATGGATCAGTAAACAGGAAGAAACTGATAGTCCTTGCTAAATAAAAGGTGTTTCAGACAACGCCTGCTGTTTTGTTCGATCCATCTTTTCTCCCATCATGCATGACACATCGGTCGAGCCACTGCCAAGGCAGATGTGTTTACCTTTCCCTCCTGGAGCTTCCATGCATGTGTTGAAACAATGGTGTGTTTGCTGTGTGTTACATGAAGACAGCAGCTGACAAAACCACACCAAAGGGCATCTCACCAGCATTCCCGCCTGTCTAGTTGATCTTCTCTACGTGTTGCTACAGTTATAACGGACTGTGGTTTTGTAGGCACTGACAAACAAGACAGATGTTATACTGTACTTTTGGGGAGTACTAGTGCATATGTGAAATAAATTGTATAAAGCCTTTTGTGGCTCTAAAGGCAGCTGTAGGCTATACAATCTGATAAATCAAGTGATGAGTAAGTGAGTTTACCACACTTCTGTAGCCAACTCCTCATGTCTGCTTGAGGCCAGTGGCTTGAGGCTACTTTAGCCGCTACTAGCTTAATATACCCAATCTCTGAACCGTCTGTGGTCGAGTTGCATTTTGGATTATGCAGACACCTGCTTTTAACAAGGAAGAAAAATGTGTGCAATAAAAAAAAGACGAAATCTCTGGTTCTGCTGCATGAATTTTGATCATTTTAAAAAGTCCATTGTGAGTCAGGCAATATCAGTGCAAAATGGTGAAGTTCTCTTGTTAAGAATGCATGATGTAACCTTGAAGAACCTTGCAATTCCTCAGTCATGGAAATCAGTTCTATAAAAAGCATGAAACAAATCAGCAGTTCAGTCAGTACCACAAGCAGACACGTATCTGTTGTTTGATGGCATTCTGAGTAGTGATGGTGAAATGTGTGCCCTGCATAGATATGAAGTCACAAAGGTTTTGTTTTTGAGATAAGGGCTTTATTGAAAGTGTGAAGCTGGATGATAAAAGTTTACGAGCCAAAAAATGTCACTTATAGCCTTGTCTGGTGTTTTAAACTGCATTCTTCATCTGTGAATGTAATAGTATGAAATACAAAATACATAATAATATAATTGCTAAATTATCTGTAGAACTCCTCAGGACTCCTTAACTTTTCTCACTAAAAATGACAAATCTGAATGCAACTTTAGATCCTCAAGAGTCAGGCCTGAAACATATTTTGGACTGTTCAGGATGAGTTAGGTAACTCAGCAATGGTAGGTTTTGCAAAGCAAAAGCATGGACATTACATTGTGTAAAGCCAGCCTTAGGGAATAGTTCTGGTTTAAGACAAGATGAGGGGATCTTTGCACCATCACTAACTCTTTCCCTTCTCATCTCTCACTTTGTCATCTCTTAGGTTGGTTTCAAAGCTTAGCACCCAAACTGCTAACAGAGAGGTCATTAGCCTCATTGTGCTTCACGTTGCGAGTGATTAGCAGCAGCAGCCACAGAGATTAAGCTGGGAGTTCTCCAGTGTCACAATGCGACGGAGCGGGATTCACAGTGTTGACCCTTTGATCAGTGACAGAGCCACAGAACGGGCAGCCAGGCGGAGATTGTGTTGATGGCGCGGGGCCTAATCTCCAGATTATCCGTCATGCTGCTCCAGTGTGCACACACAGCTAATTAAGAGATGGAGTTGTGTGTTGCAATATCACATCACAGGGGTGCATTATTTAACTCCCAAAACTTTTTAAACTGCCTTTTATGTAACAGCACCTTATTCATTCACTCTGGCTAATTGGTTGTAATCAGAGAGCGATGAGGCATATCAGCAAGTAATTTTCAAGCTGTCAAGTTGGCAAGAAAGTTCATCACAGTATCTTTTCAGCAAAGTTCATCGTGGATGTTATGAAATATTTACAAATGTCAATCTTGTCTGTTTCTGTTAAACATTGGGGACATTCAGGGCAGACTGGAGGAGTAAGTGTAACTGTCTGTATATCTCTGAAAGCTGTGTGATGCACTCCAAGGTGTTTCCCACCAACTAATATATGCAACTTCACCAGTGGTGGAAACATTTGAGTTTCCACATGAGTACATTTCCTCAAGTACTGTACCTGAGTACAGTATTGAGGTACTTTTCCATTTTCTGCTTCTTTCTATTTGTAGTTTCCAACATTTAAAGGCAAATATACTTTTAACGGCACAACACTCTTTTGACAACTATACTTCTGGTTACTGCATTGCAAAAAATTAAACCTATTGGCTTGTGAGCCCTAACAGAAAAACAGTGTCTAGTTGGGTCACGTATCCATCGACAGAGATATTTCTCTTTTGGACATTTTCAGATGGTTTAATTTACATAACTGTTCTCTACATGTTAGCTTTGCAGCAGCAACTGTCACGACCGTTTGATAACCCACCACCTAGCTAATTACATTACTAGCCGTGCCTTTGTTTCCTCTCTATCATTGTATTTGTCATGGTATTGGATTTCTCCAAAATTGCATACCCTGCTTTTAAGTAAAGTGTTTGTTTTGCAAATGTTCATTTTGTTTTTAATCAATCTCTCTGAACTCCTGTTCCACCTCAGGACAACAGCATCCGGTTTGGTATGCAGGTTAATTTCTCTCTCAGTTACAAACATCTTTTTTCTCTGCACAGACTGAACATGTTCTCACCTGAAGGATAATCAAGAGTCTACATCTGCTTGCTGCTGGGCCTGAAGAAACACACTACTCACGCTCAGTGTTGTCCCTGTGTGTTCAAAGAGAGTGCAATTGAGGCTGTGCTTGGACCAAGGTCTGTGTGTTAAATATGGGAGACCAGAGATCAGCCCAGCCCCTACTGCTTTTGCTGCTGTCCCTGATGCTCCTTGCCAGGCTGTCACAGCTGTGGGCCTTCCCCTTCAGCCCATCCCTGGACCTGGATGTCACTCCCAGGACTACTGTCTTCTCCAAAGGTGAGGGGCAAAGATACTGTGTGAGGTAAAAAAGAAATGTGCATGCCGGTGTTGTCTAACAACCGCAAGAAGTTAGTTAGTGTAGTGTCAGTCAACATGGTCAGCAGTTGGAGATGCAGCAGTTAAATCATTAAACACACAGTACACATATTTTTAGATTCAGTGTGACTTACACTTTCTGAGAATATCCTTTTCTCAAATGCCCATCCAAGAAATGTCCATAAATCCACTTAGAAATCATAGAAAAAAGACAGAACTTTCTTTCTTTTTCTTCTAGTAAAAGTTGTCTATACAATCATGAGTACATTGCAAACAGGAACTGTTAATAGCTGCAGTGCCAATTTGCCAAATGTTAACAAAAACAGGTAAAAAATAACCAGGCTCAAGTGGCCCACTACTCTTTAAATCCAAGGGAACATTATACTTTCTTGTTTTTTACATGCAGTACCATTCATAGTAATGTGGGGAGGGGAGGGGACACAGTGTCAGACTTTAAAAACCCATGTTCTAGATGCATCCATGCAAACACACATGCACAAGCCTGCTAAGCACTCACCTCCCTGTCCTTATTTGATGGTGCTGTGTCTCCTTCTACCCCTGCCCATTAAAGAAGTGGCACACTTTTCGAAGTTGGCCCTGAAGACAGCTCACTTCATGCTCAGAGTTATTAATCGCCTCTCTCAAGCCCTGTCCTAGATCACATGGCTCAGCAAACACTTCTAATGAAACAATAGACAAGAGGCCCTCATAAAAGAGGACCTGAACACAGAAGGCCTGATTAGTGTCCGTGCAGAAAATACTGCTGAATAGGTGTATTTCGGCAGAGAGTGGGTATTTACACACATCATCAGCACCTTCCTCTCCACCACCTTATCCCCCTCGCTTGCTACCAGCTCACCTTTCCCCTCCCTAGCTCCTTGCTCCCCATTACTGCGGCAGAGGCTACCACTGCAGCTGCAGCGAGAAGGGAACTCCGGCAATGGCAGACTGATGGTATGGCTGTGCTCTTACCTCCACCCCTCTCCTCTCTACTCCTCTTCAGTCCTCTGAGGATGAGTATTATTAGAGGAAGGGTGGAGTGAACAGGGACAGCTCTCTTGCCAGCCGAGCTCTCCGTTGCAATGGCATAAGAACTGTTGAGAGTGTTGCAGCGTGAGATGATGCTTAGGAGATGGGAGGGTATGCTGCTTGACGCTCTGAATCCCAATCACTCAGTGATGAGAACATAACAGAGGAGGAGCCACTTCTTAGTGTTAGTTTGCTACTTTTTGGTGCATTTTCTTGATCCAGCCTTAGAAGGATTGGTGCAAAAATGAATATTTTGTTTGAAGCTTGCTGAAGAAAGATGAAAAGTCCAAGTTTTGCTCCACAATCAGTAGAGAATATTTAGGAATAAACATTCATGGCAGAACCTGCAGCATAAAGAAAAAGACGGGGCACTACTTTTAAATATGCTATTGCTGTTTACTGCAACCATTGGTAGCTGACAGCACTGGACTGGTTACTAATGTCAGTATTTATCGATCAAATGAAAAGGACATGCTCAATTAACTCTGAAGAGTTCATTAGATGGGGCAGCACCTATAACTCATTAAGACTCATTAAGCCTCATTAAGTAAGTTTGTAAGTGCATCATTGTCTATTCTGAAAGCCTCCTTCAAGTTGTCACACCTCTGGCTACTTATTTACACATCTCTAAGTCTGACTCTGCCTCTGATCATAAATCATACATACTCTGCATACTGTGGGCTCTTTTCTGTGCTGCAGCCAGAGTCAGTCTATCATCACAGCTTTTATTTTTCTGTTTGCCCTCGTAGAAAGTTGTCCTTGACCTAATTCCTCATCATCAGGGGAGCCGTGTGAGTGCATGTGAGAGTACAGAATGTGCACGTGTGTCAGCATGCGTTTCATCAGGTCTGAGTACCATGTACGTGTGTGCTCTATGTGTGTGTGGGGAGAGGGCTGTTTGGGAATGCATTTAGTCACATCATGTAAAATCTGCGCCCCCCGTCAATTTCCCTGTGGTGACACATGCCACTCAGGGGGGGAGGTGTGGAGACTGCCAAGCACCTCATAAAGAAGATATGTCTGGCTAGGTGTGCAGTACTGAATATGGAAATAGGATGGATGTTGTATGTGGGTGTCACTACCTATGGGAGACTCCGTGGGAGGATTTAAATTATGTTTCTCAGCTGGGGTGAGGGGGCGCTCATTAATTTACAGTATGCTTTGCAGATGGCCTGCTTGAGTGGGAGTACAAGGACATGCTGTATTTGAGGGAGTTCAGATTACAAGATGGAAAATGACACAAGATGACTTCATGCACTCTTAAAGAAATCTTTAGGTACAGGTGGATTGAAAACCCCACACACTAAAGAAGAAAAGAAAAAGACAGGATCCAGTATACTGTAACATTTTATTCACAAATATACTACTTTAGTAATTAGTATTCTCATCCATTATGTAAAGCTGCATAAATAAATATTTTATGACTATAAAATGACGAACCCACAGAGAATTATCACTACAGTTTTAGTATCTTTCAGCTCATTGTTTTGTTTTTATTGCCTGCAACCTCAAAATTGCAAAAAAAACAACAGCAAAAAACCCCAGAAAAAACAGCAACAGGCTCTGTTTTCAGTGAAAAAGCTCTGATAAACCCAATTTACACTACCATGATCAGCACCAAACAGCGGACAGGGAAAGTTAGCAACTAGGTGGTTAACACGGTGGAGTATTTAGCAGCTATAGAGCCAGATATTTCCCTCAGGATATGGAGACCAAACACATGCTTGTAAAAGGGGAAGTTAGTATGGGACTTGAAGTCGAAACCCAACGCCACATGAATGTGAATGTTGCTCCATGTCTGCTGAATGTCTAAATAGGCAACTGTTTGTCACATGTTCACCATATCAACTTTAAAAACTGATAATATTGTGTGCCCTCAAATGGACAAACAATCAAATAATGCAGGTTTAAGTCAGTCCGACTAAAACTACACTCAGAAATTCGCCCCCTAGATGAGATATTGTAGCGAACTGCATAGGTATTTATATCTCGGGTAATTTGCTGGCTAATCTAACCAGCTAACAAATAGTTAGCTAACCTAACTACTAGATGGCAGTGTATGTAAATTGTTATCACTGCAGACAAGGTCGCTATCAGAATATTATTTTTCTTATCTTGCAAGAGTGGGGCTAGGTTTCGAACTATTGGTTGGACAAAACAAAGACATTTGATTAGATTGTGCCTCTTTTTGACATTAATCATCAATGAAAATATTTCTTAGTTGCAGCATCAGTTATGTAGGTCAACTCAACTTAGATTATGTTCGTAGGTTCAAGAGACACAGTTGCTGTTTCTCCCAGAGGTGAGGTAAATGCTTGACTGTGGTCTGAACTCTGCTGTTTGCCCAGGGGGTCCCTGCTTTGGCATTTTCTGCCTCTGCCACCAGACCTAAAGTAATGCGGTTGTGAAATATTGATGCACTGTAAGTTGTCTGTTGCTGCTATGAAAAGCTGAGAGGGCAAAAGAGGCCTTGGTAGTAATATTTCTTAGTGTTAGCACTATTATTGTTGTGGTGGTGGCGGTAATAACCCCGTCAGATTGATTCTTTTTTGTAGATCAAGAGTTTTCTTCAACCAGCATGGTAATTACAGCGTCAAGGAGAGCGGCAACTTATGGTCACCAATTTACTGTTCAGTCAAGTCTATTATTGGATTTGCAAACAGCCTGAGTGGCTGCATCTACTGCCTATTGAACACAGAAAACATTGATGATTTACTCACATTATCAGCTTGGCTTCAGCTGCTTTAACTGAAGTAGTTTAATATTTATCTCAGCTGTGTGACAGCATTCTTAGACCACATTCACTAACAAAGACAACACCAATATTAGATTTCATAGTGGTTTATTATGATGAGTTTTTTAGTTATGAAAGGAGGGGTCGAGGGGGGAGGGATGACAAGAAGTTGAGGTGAGTGGGATGAAGGGGTTGAGGATGGAGGGATGAAGGGGTCAGGAGAAGAGGGATGAAGGGGTCGAGAAGGTTGTTTAGGGTTTGGTGGCCGGAGCAGCTACGAACCCGAGGGGTTGAGATTCAGGGTGGGGTTCCTGTTGTAGAAAAAGACAAAATGATTACTCGGCAGATTTATGGATTTTAGCGTGCATGTCTTTCATGGTGGGAGGAAGCCAGAGAGCCCAGGGGACACCGACACAGACATGGGGAGAACACGCAAACTCTGTACAGAAAGGCCCGGGCTGAGCGAGGTCTGAACTCAGAACCTCCTGCTGTGAGGCCGCAGTGCTGTCCACTGGACCACTGTGCTTCCCATTAAAAGAGGTGAACAAGCAGGGTTTGGGTGGGAGGGATGTGAGAACTGAGAAACGAGAGAGAAAACATGTTAGACAGCTTATATGCGTGAGTGCATGTGATTGGATTTGACAGGCACAGGTGGATGAAATGAGTGAAGTACGGGTGGCTGATTGGAGGAATTGAAAGCACAGGTTGTCGAATAAGTGAGAGAGGCGTGGTCCTGTTCCTGTAAACGTCACTTTACATAACTCCATTTGCTTTTGCCCTTTTTATTTTTCTCTCTGTAGTGACGTTTCATGCTTTGGACCCTTATATCCACTGAGACCTTCATGATGCTTTGATCTTATTCCCCTCAGACAGTGCTGATGTGTGATTCTGACAGGATCTTATTGGTGATTCACTGATAACATCTAGCAAGACCTGAAATAACACAGGGACTGTTTGTGTGTGGGGTTGGTGTTCTTTTCTGAGATGAAAGTCTTGGCTGTCTTTCATCTCATTCTGCAGTCTCCCTGGTTGAACAAAGTCCTACAAAAATTTTGGATCTGACACAAGCTCTGAAAAAGGTGTGTTTGTGTCATCATAAGACATAAACATGCCTCTTTGACGTGGTGCCTAACAAGTGATCTCTCTGACAGTGGTTGACATCTTCATTCATGAGGAAGTTATTACACACAGCTGACTG